ATGAGGACTAAGTGGGTTTTTTTGTTCCAGATGATCGATCATCTGGATTCCTGGTCCTTAATATATTGAAGATCCTGGGCATTGTATTGCTCTGCATTAGCATCATCAGCTTTGAGTGGTGAGATTATCTTTTATGAGTTGATACTTTGCAGCTGCTGTTAGATGTTGGTGTTTCAATATTTCTTTTTTCTTTCAGCTGGTTCAGATTCTCCAAGAAACCAAAGAAGGTAAACTAACTGAGTTCATTGTTTGCATCCTGACACAAACGATGTGTGGCAATTTGTTAGACAAGATTGTTCAGGCGACATAATTTTATTTTATGTCAAACAATTTCAGAAATGGTTAAGGCGAAAATGCAGTGTCCTTATCATCAGCTCATTTTCTTTACCACAATGGTAAATATCCTGCATAGATATAGTACTTAAACTTCTAAAATACTTAGAGTTTACAGTGAGTTACATTCCCTCAAACACATCCATACACTGATGCACAGGATTATTAGGTAACTTAGGGTTCAATCTTACAAAAAGACATTTCAACATATGATGAAAGGAAGCTGGAATCAAACTCACCACCAAATTTCAGACGATCACCACAAAACTACAACTTACCATCTCATTAAAGGACAAATATAGTGTTTTGAGTTTTTAGTTGGGAATCCAGTGAGACTGAAAATAATGAGACCAGCCTTTATTTCCTCTGAAACAGTTTGAGCTCAAGTACATTTACTGTAAAATACATTTTGTTTTTTCTGTCTACAGGAAACAGAAGAGCCAACCTATGTCAACAATGTGATGGAAACTAAAGCATCATGAACCTCAAGGAGACCAGGAATATTTCAAAGCCTCTGTCAGAAAGAGGATTTATTATTTCTATCCATCTAGTTAATCTTTCCAATAATTAATGTTTGTGTTTCAACAAGCTTATTTCTATCTGCAAAGGCCAATAGGTGGAGGTCTGGATACACTGTGGACGCATCAGCAGTCCATCACATTACCATTCATTGTGCTTTAGAAATCACTCATTACTTCTTGATACTTTTTTTCTGCAATGCAATGTAGTACTTATTGACTAAATAGTAATGCTTCGGTAGAACACTGAAATATAAATGTTTGCAAAATAATGTGTAAATGCCCGTTCCATGTTTTATATGCTGATTCTAAGTTGTTACCCATAGTACCCAGCAGGGGCGCTGTAGGTTGGGTCATGTTGAGTTAAAACTGTAGAATGAGAGGAAGTGTTGCTAGCCTCCTGTCAGCCAGCGTTTTGGGCTGAAATATCCCACGGACGGGAGGAAGAGGATGATGTTCTTCATCTCAACGACTGGACTGTAGCGCTGTAGCGCTGATTCTTCAGAACGGACTGGAAGCTGGAGGTGGCACGGCACGGACTTTGTGCCATGGACTTTGCGGCCCTCGGACAGCGGAGCGAGGTTCATGTTTAGAGCTTTATTGCTTTAGTTAGCGTTATTATTAGTATTATGTATTCATGTTAAACAAAATGTATTTTCTTTTCTTTTAGTTTTCACGGTGTAAATACAAATCTACTGCACCCGTCGAAGCTCTCCGTTTTCTTTATTGGGTCTGAGGGACTGCTACAATAATAATAATAATAATAATGGGGCTGCAC